TGAAAGCTGGCTGGGTGACTTTGGGCCAGTCACTCTCTCTCAGTCCAACTCACCTCACAGGTTGGTGTTGTGGGAAAAATAGGAGTAGGAAGGAGTATTAGGTATGTTTGCCACCTTGAGTTACTGTATTTATAAAAATAATAAAGGTGGGATAAAAGAAATCTAAAAAAAAAAAGCCAGCTGGGTAAACCTTGGGCCAATCACTCTCTCTCTCAGCCCTAGGAACGAGGCAATGGCAAACCACTTCCAAAAAACCTTGCCCAGAAAACTGCATGGACTTGCCCAGGTAGTTGCCAGGAGTCAAAAACCTGACTTGAAGGCATCAAAAAACGAAACAAAATAAAACCCTTGCTATTTAATATAACATAGCATATAATTTTCGGTGGAAGTCAAGAGTACAAAACAAGCTAAAAAATTCTGGTAAACTTAAAAAAAAGAGAAAAGAATAACGTAATAATGAAAAAAAAGGCAAGTATCAACTTGGGTATTTTTAAAATGCTGCCAAATTTTATGATTTAAATTAACAGGAAACAAATACAGACATCTTTTATGAAGGTGGGTAAAATCTGTCCCCCCAAGCCCCATTTGTGCCACTCCCTAAAATTCCCAAAATAATCAGGCTAAATTTTTATTTTGGTGACGTTTTAAGGAGCAAAAGTGGAATTTTTTTTAAAGAATTAAGTTACCAATTTCATAGCTTATAACCCCCTAAAAAAATGCAAAATTCAGTTCTAGTATTTCAGTTCTGCCCTCTCCAGTGACATCAAGTCCACCTAACTCTCAGGCAGGGTACAAAGTCAAAGTGCATCCTTGAGATTGAAAAGGTTACCCATAAAAGGTTACAAGGATCTATATTTACCTACAAGAAAAAGAAGATGGATACAGTGATTATGTTCCCATATTACACTAAACCATTATTTATATAACTCTGGACTGCTGAAGAAGCCATATCTGTCTCATTCATATATAATGCTGAGTCATGAATCACTGTTTACAAAACACATGGCTGAGTTGACATATCATGCTAAACCAAAACTAAAAAATTATTGTAGCATGATGTATGAACCCATATACTGAAGGTTAGCTTTACATTTCAGAGGAATGAGGACCCTCAGATTTTAGAAATTCATATGTTCAATCATTCCTGCATCTCTTCCATGTCAAAAGTATATTGAAGCAGGCTAGATAATAATCAACTCAATACAAATGCAAAATATTTCTGATGTGTCAAATTTGCTAACTTCCCAGATTTGAAAAATCTACAGAAACACCTCATACTATGAAATATACGTACTCACTCACCCAAATGAAAGAGCAGCACAATCCAGACAGGAACCGAGATTGCTCTCAGGTAACGCTCAGTGCTTTGGTTCCATTTAAATAACACAGTTAACAGATAGCCTGCTATCAAGGTCCATATCTGAATATTAAAAAAGGAGGTGGAAATTGACAATGTTCAGTATAAATCTCTGTTAGACTTATACATTAAGTTCAGTCTATCAGGACTGTCTACTAGCAACCCATGAGATGAATTCAGTCAGTATATTCCTAGCAGTTGTATAACCATTTTATTTTTATCTTCTTTCACTTGAAAGAGAAAAATGTTTTCCAATTTTAAGTGACAGTTATTTGTTAAAACTTGCCTTTCCATGATCATAGTTTTGCTTTTGCAGTTCTCAAACGGATGTTTAGTATTTGACATTTAAATGGAGAGAAAGGGGAGCGGGGGGATTTGATAAAAGCTGGCAGTGGGGATGTACAATCAGTAAAGGAGAAGTTTAAACTTCAACATCTCCATGTAGTAAAGAGTAAATAGGACAAAGATAAATGCCTATTTATCAAAAAGCTGCATTTGAACAATAAACCAATATTTGGTTGTATCTGTACACATGCACATAAGCTACCGTCTCTCAACTCACATCTCCAATCTGCGACAGAAGAATATAATGTCTTTTATTACTCCGCATCAGCAGTCTGAGGTTAAAATAAATAAATAGAAGGTTCTTGAAAGTTATTCTCAATTCTAAACTAGCCAGTAATGAACTTCTGTATATGCAACTCAGAGTTTGAATAAATATTCATTTGCACTATTTTACATACAGAATATTTAAATGCTGTCCTTTACAATGGCTTTGAGCAGCTTACCAAAAAGTACAATACAAATAACAATAAAAACAGTTAAAAACAAGAAATATAGAACACCAACATTAAAACAGCGAACAACTCTAATATTAAAACACTCCACCATTAAAAGGCAATAAACTTATTAATCCCTGTCAAAGTATAATATTTATTTATTTGTATTTATTTATTTTTATTGAATGTAAAGGCCACCCAATCCAGACACCTCTGGGTAGCTTATATTTTAAAAGTAAGAACATTAAAACGAAAAGGAAGTATGAACAAACATAACACCTCAAAAAACTGGCAGGAGCTCAGCAACTACTCTATCCTCAGGTCTGGAAACAAAGCCAAATTTTCAAAGACTTTCAGACAGGGCTATGGAGTCGAAGTCATGGAGTCGGAGTCAGAAGTAATTCTTGGGTTACTGGAGTTGGTAAAAATGTACTGACTCTGACTCCTAATAAATTTAAATTGTATATAATAATATAATATGTTAAAATTTCCTATTTCATAGATAATAATTTGATTAATGTATTTTTTTCAGGATATATTTTAATTTTAATGCCTTGTATGTTGCATGCTTGCAGTTGATATAGGAAATAGATAATTAATATTTTTAATTTATTTCCTATATCAATATATAATTAAAGGAGTTGGAGTCAGAGTCAGAGGTACCATGAATAAAGGAGTTGGAGTCAGAGCCAGAGGTTTTATGTGTTGACTCCACAGCCCTGCTTGTAGAACATCAAGGTGGGAACCATAGAGATTTCTGGAAGGATGCCCCACAGCTGCAGAGTACTAGGGGCAGGGCAGCTGGCGAGAGCCTTGGAAAGGATCAGGTTGGCCTCAGTGGTTGTGTTGGCTGTGTACTTTGTTTTGTTTGGGTGAGGTGAATCTGTGGGTAGGTGTGAGCATTTGGGCCTGGAACAATGAGCAGGCAGGCAGGGTTATTGAAACTGTGAAGGGCAGGAGTAGATATAGCAGGAATCTGAGGGTGGGCTGCATTTGGGGATCCTGAGGATGCTATTTGAGAGCAATCCAAATCTCCTGCCCTCAGGATTCACCCTCAATACCAGGTAACCTGATCCTTGGTGGTTCTGGGCTCTGGCTATTGATTTTAAATGCCAGGTTGGTATGTAATAAATCTGCTGTCATCCATGTTTTTTTTTTATAAGTTTTTTATTCTTTACAACAAGCACAAAACATACATAGACAGACAAGAACATACAAAGGCATAAAAAAACACCATCTTCCATTTTATACCGTGTGTCAACCAGTTACCAAATCATT